TTCTCAGTGCAGAAACCAACAGGTGACGTCACGGAAGCTACGTCCATCTTTTATACAGTCCATGGTCAGACGTTGGCTAAAACTGCTAACATTTTCTCATTCTACTTTCACTAAAGTGAATATTTTTTGTTTTTCGCTCTCTTATATCATTTTGGCCTTTAGCAAAAGATGACTCACTTTTTTAATTTTATTTTTTACTAGTTACCGCCTTCAACTAAATGAGTAATTTCCCATTAAAAATGAATAAATCAATCAGAAATTAATAGAAATATTAGCAGCGGAGCTACTTCAGACCTTCCACAGTAAATTAACATTTTATTTACTTCAGCACACTGAAATTGAGTTTTAAATGTCATTTATGCAACACTTCAATGCAGTTTTTTTAGAACAATATCTTATATATAAAGGAAGCCAGACTCCATGGATGATGAGCCTGTTAGTGCCACTTATCAAGGCTCTGACAAAGAACTCAAAAGTAAAAAAAAGTAGTAGCTACGTCCATCTTTTATACAGTCTATGGTTCCTCGTTGGCTCATAACTTGGGGTCTCGGCTACTTTACGCAAATCAGCTGTCACTCAGTGCCTCTAGAAACTCCCCCAAAACGTTTAAACTAACTGTTCTTAAACTAAAAACAACAAAATATTCAGCAACGGCATGGCTCATTTCTCACCTCAAATGTTTTTAGAAATACATTTTTGGGAAAGTGTTTTCGTAATATAAGCAAAAAATTTCAAAATAATGTTGGTCTGGTTTGAAATCCAGCAGCAGACAACCTACAGGTGACGGGTTCGTCCAGTCAGGTGCAGCCAATGTCTGCACAGCTGTAAGAGCGTGAAGCCTCAAGACACTGCCGAGCTGTACATCCAACAAACAATCGATGTTGGGAAGCACGCTGGGACCCCATCGCATCTAAAAACACCTTCTTGGACACGTACCATTAGCATGCAGGCCTCACTTTTTAGAGCCAATAGCTACTGCTTCTGTATAATCTATGACCTGAGGCTTAGTAACAGATTGAGTCTGTAAGCATTGATTACCTTGTTGGTTTATACCATCACCAGCAGGATTTTAATGTATTTGTCCTATTTGAAGAATGTAGTTTCAGTCTTTCTATGTACACATCCCTCAACCTCTCTCAGCATATCTACAAAATGTAAGTTATGCTAGAATGTTCACTGAAAGTAGTTTCATAGTCTGATAGTTCAAATTAAGCTTAGTGATTTTTTTCTGAAAATATCCTAGATGCTGTTATGATAATTAGCCATTGGAGAGGAAACATGCTTTGCTTTCTATCAGCATTTATGTAGGATTCAACAGCCTGGAGGATGTTTATTTTTGTATTTCCCTGTACAAGTGTGTTCTGATAGTCTCAAGCATTCTTTTCTTGAGTTAATGGACATTTAGTGTTTGCTGGAGGGTGATGACACCAGAATCAATATCTGTATTCAGAATCACTCACTGTGAAATGTTCACTAACTCACTTTATCTTAGGTTGCTTTTATTCCAAAAGGGGGTTTGTTCAGTGGCTTTCTCGGCTTTGTCCTCACATATGCAATGCTTTTTCTTAGGGATTACTCATTTGTACTGTAGTCCTTCAGGGGCTGGCAATATTGGATTTCAGTCCCTTGGGTGTCTCCTTGTTTCTGGTTCAATACTCTTTCAAATTTTCTGTCTCTCTCCGCTGACCCTTTTTCACTATTTCCTGTTCACACTCAATCTCTGCCGCTGTTTTTTTTTTTTTTTATCCCCTCCATCCGCAATTTCTCCCTCTGACCCTTTAAACCCTTCGTCTTTCCCTTCCTCCCGCTTCTGTTCATCCCTTTCTGGGCTTGTCTCTGTTCTGACCTTCTGTTCCAGGCCTTCCCCTCCACCACGAGTTAATGGCCTTGTAGTTTCCCTAAAGCAGATGTCGATATGAGAGCAGGGAGGACAGAGGACTGGTAAAAAGGCACAAAGAGGCTCTGAACTCGGGAGGCCGATTTCCCAGCAAACAGTCAACACTGTGTCGCCGCTGTGACATTTTGCACGGACAATTTTCTAAAGTCAAGTACCAAGGACCGGCTAATCCCGGGCACTGTAAGCTCCCTGCCACCGGAGTGAAATTATGCTGCACTTTAGCGATGATGACCAGGAGTGAGAGGACAGACGACACAATGAAAATACCACGGACGAGTAGAAATTCATTGTAAACTCTCCCTGGAGCATCCCAGAAAAATGTCAGCGCTTCAAAGTGCGCCGCCGCCGCTGCTGATGATACTTTTTTTTCTTCTTTCGGCTACGTTGTCATCATTACTCAGCTGTTCTCTAATGTGAGATCCCGCTGTGCTCGTGAAGAACAATGTCTGCCCGCTCAGGTTCTCAAACGTCGTAATAATCAGCTCTAAAAACAAACTTCTGCGGCAGAGTTTTAAAGGTGGCAGATGACTGATATTTTAGGGTGGGAAAAATAAAGCTGTAAAATCAGCCAAAATTGGTAGCGCGACAGTAAAATATGCCTCATTAACCCCAGGAAGTGCTGCAAAAGTTAAAGTGGCAGATTTATCAAGGCGAAGTTATTAAGTCTGGCCCTGATCCAGACTCTGCTAAGTCTTTTTTTTTTTCTTCTTCTTCTTCTTCTTAGAGTTTGTCTGATGCTTCTGATAAAAATGACCCGCCTGTCGCCCTTTAGAGGTTCTTCATGTGTCATTGATTATTTAATTAAATAAATGTGGAAACGCGCATTTATACCTGAGATCAAATCCTATTGGTATACTGGAATGTGGCACCTACATGCTCACAGCGAAGACGAGTTCAGCCTAAAACTAGCTGCAAACATGTCATCAATTCAGGAACGTCTACCAAAGTTAGCAACTGTGATACATCTGCAATGTTTCCAATATCAAGTCCAGTTTCTGATCCAGACATGTGACATCAGCAGGCCTCATAGCCGGCGCTTGTGGTTGCTTCTGTCCATCAAGCTTCTTTATTTTTTGGGTATTTTCACTTCCTGTGGGCTCATTTTTCGCTGCTACATAAGGTCTTGTACCTCTGTGCAAACAATGCAAGCACGAATAGAAGAAAAGGGAATTCAAAAGTGTCTTATTACACAGTTATAACGCCATACATCGCAAATCAATCAATCAGTACGTCAATCTGAAATTGTTTGATGATTTATTTTACTAAATTGATTAAAAAAAAAAAACCTAGAACCAGCATGTACAACATTTTTTGAAGTGTTCGAAGGTGTGTACCAATACTGGAAAAACTGGTGGATCTCCAGATGTACAATCAATGTTTCTACAGACTAATGGTTGCACAGTTGCGCAGAGAACTTTGTTTAAGTTTACAGACTCATATTAATGCAAACAGTGTATTTTTTTTGGCAATTTCTTAAATGAGACGTGTGGAATAAAGTGATTTGTATGAAATGTCGTGATTTTAGGTTCAGATTTGGTTCCATTTTCTGATGGAATATGATTAATTCCAGGCTGTTCTACAGTTTCTGATAAATGGTGTAATTTGGGCAATTTTTAAAAAAACAACCTGCCTTTTAAACCCACCGGTGAGTTTTAGGGTTCAGAGACATTACTGCAGTCGATTCTTTCCCCCATGTAGCTAATTAATTTTAATTTCTTAACAGCTACACCGACACATTTGTGTGCTCTCTCAAAACAACCGACTCTACTCTGCCAAAAAGTATTTGTAAGACCACAAATGAAGTGAAGCAGAGGAGAAAACTAGAGAAACTGGGCAGCAAACTCTATGATACTGAATACTTTACTGCGCGTCATTTTTCACCGTCTTGTTACAACTAATTAATAAAGCAAGATGGAATAATGAGATAAGAGAGACGGACTAATCAACAATGAGAATAACGGTTAGTCGCAGCTCTACTAAATTCTGGCTGGTTAATACGCCTGCCCCAGAAAGGACAAGAGAAACAGAATTAAAGTTTACTCTGATTATTCGGCTACCCTTTGGCCAACCTGACTGAAGCCTTTTCACTTAATGACCTCTGATTCTTAGGATTTGATTGTGCTTCTTCTGGGTTTTATGAAATTTTGCATCAACCAAAATTAGAGTGTGTGAACATGTTGGGGAAAAATGATGTGGAAATCTGTTATTTGATGATGATCTTAGGATCCAAAGCAAGGAAGGTCTACATTTCACAGAACCGTCTAATTACACGCGACACATTAAACCAATCATGTGATCACAGTGGCATGCTGCAACTTATGCAGATTGTGTGATTGGTAACATTCAAAGCCACTTTTCATACTTCATAATCAGGACTCTTGTTTGTTTCCTCAGACTTAACAACGCTTTGATTTATTTATGTAAATTTAATCTTTTTAAAAGTGCAAATAACAGAAGAAGACTTGTGTAATTTTTTTTACCCAAACCTAACATCTGAGGCTCCAGCGTCTTATTTCCTCTGACGTGTTCTCCCCCTGCAGACTCTGTGCTGTTAGCATGATCCAGGCTGCTGTGTTCGCTGACACTCTGCATGTGGAGAACATCCATCATCCTAACATGCTCTGCACTCGCAGCATTTGTCCCCCGTCACATTTACAGAAAAAAAAAATAAAAAAACAAACACCCAAATGACCGAGCAGATGGTGCTAAATGGCGGGAGCCTCCCCCCGCCCCTCCTCAAAAAAAAAATCACATATTCCCCACGTCGGCATCCTCGCGGCGCTCCTTCCCCCCCTCCTGACATGCATGGAGCTCGCGGCGAGGGGCTTCCACTGATCTCCTCGTCTCCGCCTGGCAACCAGCACTTTAATAATTCTCTCAGAGCAGAAGAAGGCATCTGACGCTTTTATGCCCAACACCACCCTGGCAGTTTTCTCTCATTAATTTCACAGCACCCCAGTGAGTCTGAGGCAAACACTTTGAGGAGAAGACAACACGCTTACGTCTTAATCCGAGTCGTTTTTCAGGTTTAAGGTGAACTCGTCTCCGCTGTTTGTTTTTACAAGCGCCGTTTCTTCCTACAGTGTAAGTCCCGGGGCAAAAATAAATGCATAATTATGTCCTACCTACCTCTGAGATGGCGTTAAACCCCCTTGTAGTAATTCATAAATCAGAGCCATTCGGTGAGATTACATTCATTAAAGTGCCGCATACAACTCTGGTAATAAATCATAATTAACTCTGCGCTTATTCCTAAAATAGAGCGCTGCCAGGTGCCATTACCTTTGATGAAAAGATCCAAAGACTGACAAACTCTTTGAAAAATTTCGACATAATTAAAAATGCTTCATTCCTCATTTTCTATAGCCCAGAGGAGGAGGAGATAATATATTTAACCATAGCAGAGAAATAATGCGAGTGTGTTGGTGTAATATTGTTTTCATTTATGCTTTTAATTGAGTTCAACTGATTGCACTCGAAAGCCTCAAAAGTGAATCAAAGTCAAAAGCAATCTGCCTGCGCTGATAGTTGTTTCACACAATTACCGCCCACAGATAATTCCGCTGTCTCAGTCACACTCCGGCTCAAACTTCAAAGCGAATTTCTCTTCCGTTTCTTCTCAAACAACCGGGCAGATATTTCAGACTGATTGTGTAACCTCGTTTCTCATTTTAAAAGACAAAGCCAGATTAGTTGACTTACGGCTCGGCAGTGAATCAAAGTGTGCCACACACGCTAAGCATATTTTCGGTTGCATTTTAGGGCATTTAGCTGACGTGCTAATCCTCGGTGTCGCACAATGAGACGAACGGCACTTTTCTACTCGGGTTCGACTCATTTTAGTATTTTTAGTTATCAATAGCTCGTGTCGTGTTCGGTACTCTGTGTTCTTCAGGATTCAGGGCGATTGTAGTCATGTGAATCTATGTTCAGACCGCTGAGGGATGCTTAACCTCTTTCTGCAGCGTGTCTTTAATGTGAAATATGAAAGTCATGCAAATGCAGCTCTGCAAATTATAAGCATATTATAAGCTATGAAAACACTG